TTTTGTGTCAGTCATTTAACTAAAAATGTTAATAAAGTTATTTAACTTCCATTGCCTGCTTGATTGTGTGGCTTTCAGACATTCTCTAATCTCTCTCTTCCTGTCTTTATAGTTAGGAAAATTAGCATAAATATAGCATGGTTGTTGTGTACTCATTTTGGTCTTTCAGGAAAGTGCTCTTCCTTTCAATTAAAATGAACTTGGCAAATTTCCATATCTGAAGCTTTACCGAAAAAGAAAACCCTAGGCCTGTCTGGGTTTAGTTATCTATGTAATTGTGAATGGGAAAGTGGCTTTTTCTTTTGTTGGAGTGAAAAGATTAGTTACCAATTATGCAGGATATTTGATGGAATTTTATCTTGATATCATAAGTTTTAGAACTTACTTGAATATTTGTAGTATGTTTTTAGAAGTGAGTATATGTTTATCTCCTTAATATTAGACAGGATAGAGCAAATAGAACAAAATTAGAAATTCTGTGAATTAAGGTTTTAATTATTGCTTGGAATGATTGAATAAACATGTAATCAACTTCTGGAATTTATTCTTGCAAGCTGTTGAGCCAAAAACTTAAGAGGATTCTAAAAAAGTACCGATAACTTCTAGAGTGGTGATACAGTAGCTCTCACATCCTGAAGTGTGAAAGCTAGTAAGTTTGGGGAAGAACCTGGGGTACAGAGTAACTTTTGAAAATGGTGCAGGTACAATACCTCTCATGCTTTCAAGCAAAACCTCTAGCATTGGCTGCTGGATTTAGATATATTTGTTGTTATCTAAGATGAAAAAAATCCTGTTTTTATTATCAGTGAATTTTATTTTTCTGTTTGAAATACTAGAATATTTCAGTTAAAACCTATTTTTAGAATCAGCTTCAGAATTCTTTTTCTTGTGATTGTAGCCTTTTCTTGCATCAGTTTTAAGATGTGAGAAGTCAGTAAGAATGAGCTGAATGTCAATAAGCAGACCTTTTGAACTTTCTTTTTTTTGAGCAGATGGACACCCAGTAATGGCTGCTGGTAGCCCAATTGGACACATTGCTTTATGGGACCTAGAAGAGAAGAAACTAATGTGTCAGATGCAAGATGCCCATTCCACAGCAATAGCTGGTATGTCATTTGTCCCTGGAGAGCCACTTCTTATTACTAATGGTGCTGATAACGCTATACGGGTAAGTTACAATAGCTGCTGCTATCTGCTGTTACCTTTTTTTTTTTTCTCTTGTAGTCCCCCAAAGCGTAAATGTTTAGTTTGGATTGAAGTAGCAGTTCTCAAATGAAATAAATACAATAAAATTCAAGTTACTGAAGTTGCTGGCTCTCAGTTGATCTGTAGTGGGACAATTTAAAGATTTGCTACCATGATGTCATTGCTTCATTTATTGCTTCATGATAGCCTTGAAGAACAAACCTTTGGATCCACTTTTCCGGAACCACACTTTATATCCTGGTGCACTATCTTAAATCTTGATCTATTTTTATGGTGTTCTGGGTCATGAGCAGTTGCTGTTGATAAAAGTCCCTTGTGCTGCATGTCCTCTGATGGGATTAGCCTTTAGTGGAGGGGCAGAATGAACAGCGGGAAGCAATCAGCTGCCGTGGTGGAAACTTCCAGAGTTTTAGGATCAAGGATGAAAGCCAATGTATGAAGTTTGCTGCACCAGCTCCCAGCTAAGCATGTTCCATTGCCAAGAGGTGTAGTTATTGGCAGGGTAATGTTTATCGGCTTTGTTTTTCTGCTTTGTTTGGGAGGCAGGTGTGGATTTTTGATGGGCCTGGTGGTACAGGACGTGTATTGAGAAGCCGAATGGGACACAGTGCACCACCAACAAAAATCAGATACTATGGGCAAAATGGAGAACAAATTCTTAGTGCAGGTATGAATTCTGACTCTTACTCTTCAGTCTAATTTCCTGCTGTGATAAAGAAAACATGCAGAGCTAAGTGTCTTTGTTTTATTAATACAGTAGATTATATTTCATGTGTTATATATGTGTATTCATAAAACATAGTAAGTGATTAGTGTAGACAGTATCATTTATTACCGTATCAAACTGTTTCACAGTTTCCCTAGAGGAACGTATATCTGTGGGTAGACTGAAAAGTAGTTACAAGCAGAAAAGCTTAGGAGCTGCTTTTGTCATCCGTATTTATACGTTTGATGAATAAAAATTGTTTCATTATCTCCTAAGGAACTATCAGCTGGTCAAAATGAAAACCTGTAACAACTAGGGAAATTCTGTTAATAATAATTCTGTTTAATAAGCAGCATAATGCATTTAGTAACTTAGAGGAGCCACTCCACTTTTCCCATTAGTTTGAGCAAGCTTTGTGGGTTGCAATGTCTTTGTAATTTGTTACAGCTCAATTGTGTCTGTAATATATATTCCCAAGGTTGCTTGTTATGAAGATATTAATCTGAAAGTGTAAAAATGCCTAAGTGACTACCCTTCCTTAGAAACTAGCATATTTAAAAATCTATGAAGAGACCCGTTAGGAAATTAAGTACTAGATCGCACTGTTTTGTGGCCCGAGACACTTCAGTAATGGAATAATAGACTCTTCACCTAATGTTTAATTACACTGAAGTAATGAAATTGTCTACATGGGCAACGTTTGAGAACATTACACTACATTTTGATGAATGTCACACCTAATATGGCACAGCAATACACTGTGCTAAAACCAGCTGTGCTAAAATCTCTTGCTGGTTGTCCAACTAGTAACTTGGATTCAGGTAACTAGTTACTTGACAGTAATTCAGCTCACACCAGATGAACCACAGTAACAATGAAGAGTTGCTTAACAAATCCTCACATCTGCTTTTGCAATTTACTGCTTTGTTAACTGTACTGAAACATATGGAGAGGGCACAGAGACAGCCACTAAAATGAAAAGAGTCTCAGGCTTTGAGATCTGATATATCTGCAGTGTAAGGACTATACATTCCTTTCTGAACCAGTTGTAAAACTTTGTGCAACAGAAATGAGGTAACAACGCTGTGCGGTGTCTTTCAAGTGCTAGTGGTTTGCTTAGAACAGGCATCTACAGAGATTAAGTTTGTAAAATTTCACCAATGTCACTGGCTTTCATCCTGCTTAACGTTTCTCCCAGTATATGCATCCTGCCTTATTTCTGTATCATAGGAGCAAAGAAAGGTTGCTTGAATACTGTAAGTTTTCCATTGTCTTTCAGATTCTTTAAGTTCACTTTGACTAATTTTCTGTTGCCTTACTTGTTTGGCCCAGTAAAAATGTTTTGTGGTTCTTGTGATTTTTAAAAATCATCCCAGTGCCTTTAATTTTACATGCGTTGTGTAGTTTCTGGTTCTGCCTTGTCCATGTCTCCCCCACAAAATTTACCTGTTTGCTAGTTTCAAATTTAAGCCTTCTGTCCCTCTATTAAATTAAATTCCATCAGTTCTGTGAACATTGGTCACTGAGTAGAGGAGGGAAGTCCTATTAGTGTCCTCGTTTACGGGAAAGATGGACAACTCAGCTTTTACCACTTTTGTTTGGGTTAGCTTACTGGCTAACCTAGGTGTAGTTCTTAACCAGCCACAGCATGTGTTTGTTATACAAAGGATAAAGAAAGGAATATTGTAGTTGGTGAAGGAGTATATAGGGTCATGGGAAAGCTTTGGAAGTATTATGGAAGTATTTGAAGCATGTAACAGTTTATGTAAGATTTTAATCATAGAAAGATGGGAACAGCTAGATGTTTGGGGGGGGGGGAGGCAGAGAAATTGAACATGGAGAAGACGTCCGCAAGAGAGGTGTCATTTCTGATCATGTGTGGAATGGGATATAGGCCATAGAAAATTAGGTTCCATTAGTTCTGCTGCTTATAGTCTATCTGTATTTTTTCTTGGACCAGAATTTTTAGTAAATACTTTATTATGGTGTTTGAGGTTTCTTAGTGCTTATCTTCTGCTTTTCTTGCTCAGATAGCTTATGAGTAAACGGAAAGTTGATTTTTGCCCTTCACTGCTCTCTGCTAATATTTTGTCAGGGCAAGATGGAACACTGCAGTCTTTTTCAACAGTGCATGAAAAATTCAATAAAAGTTTAGGACGTGGTAAGTATTTCAGTGAAAGTACAAATATTGGTGAAAAAACCCTGAAAAGTATGTGAACAGGAGATAAAACATTAGGTAGGCCTTATTTTCACTTTAACTGTTGTATGAAAACTATTCACCTCAGTTGTTCTGCACACTCAGTCCTTCATGATGTATATAAAGTGTACTCTCAGATTTGTTTGTACTTAAGGAAAGTAATTTCTGTAGCGTGACAGTGTGTGTTACTTCACTGTGGGAAACATTGGGCATGATTTTTGTGTTAAAAATGTGTAAAGCAGTAGCTGACATTTCAGCATATGTAATTACAACTTTTTATCCCATTCCCCTTCTATTCTATTGACTAAATTATTAGTGAATTCATATTTCTTGACTTAAGTTCCTTTGCTTTAATGTAGATTTTAACTTAAAAAACACATCTTCCACACCATGCTGCGGTTAAAGGACACTTTCTTGTGCAGTTCAGAGAGCAAGGCTCAGAAAGACTAAAATAATTCTTATTTTTAAGTATCTATATATATTGATATATATGTATTTAGATAGATTTGAATAGAGAGATGTAGATTAATTGATTATGTATATCCTTGGGGCATAAATATGAAATTCCTGACTCGTTGGTTATTGAAAGGGCTGGGTGTTATGTATTGCTTTATGTAGTCCTGTCTGTATGACCATGGTTTTAGCTGTGATGAGCGGACCCCTGCCTCAGGATGTCAGCACAAGATCCTGGAACAGATGAGTTGTGCATCTGTGAATGTAATAGGCTAGTGATTTGCTCAGCATCACATGAATTTTGACAGGAACTGTATTAATTTTCTTAGCTCTTCAAGCCCTAGGTTACAGCAATGCTGTATTAATGTAAGCCAAATTTTTCTAAGTTTAATAGGAACTTTACACTTAGTAAACAGTCCTTTTTAAACCATTATTCTCACATCCAGCCATGAGATTGAGACACTTCTTTTTTTTTAAGGTTCAATTAACAAAAAGAAATCAAAAAAGAAAGGTCTTAAGCTTGATACGATGGCACTTCCACCAATTACAGTCTTTGCTTCAGGTAAGTAGTCTTTGAGATACATTACAGAGCTCATGTCTTCATTTTGTCTTTTAACCCTCAAGACACTACTGTTTTGAAAGCCCATGCTATATCAAGATGAGACTATTGAGATTCTGTGGCCCTTTGTGAGTTGTTGAGTGACAGTTTAAAATGACATTTTACTTTGTAAACTTTTCTGTTATTTCAAAAAAGAGCATTTTATTTCAAACGTCTTGTTTAACTGGCTTTTGGCTTGAAAATCTCCAGCACAGGAGCCAGAATGTTCTAGTGTACATCTTATTCCAGGCTGGAGAACCAGCAATTAGGGGGGGATGAAGATCTTTGTCATCTGAGGAAATCTTAATTATAGTGGTTGATTTTGATTCCCCAGTTCCTTTATTTTGAGTCACTTCTCAAAGTCAGATTTCAATTACTCTGTTCATTTGTAATTCAGCATGTAGTTAGTGAACCTAACTTTTTGAGGCAGAATTGCAATTATCTTTGCTTCATCAAAGTGTGTTTTTTTTTTTTTAATGACCTCCTCTTCAGACTTGAAGTCTGTTTTGTCTTAAGTGTAGCTATTATTTTGTCTTCTGTGGATGGTTGGTTGTTTCATATGTTGAAAGGTTTGGATTTACAATTTTGTGTAGCCATTTAGCTACATATGATACATATTTGCAGACTTCACTGATATAGACTATCTGTACATACTTGTTGCAAAGGGGTGTGTGTGTGTATATATATATATATATGCACTTTTAAAATTAATATTAGACCTGCCTGATTGATTTAAGGTAGTAGAGCTACCTTAAATGTGTTTGGAGACATAAGAAAACATTAAGTATATTTTAATTAGAGTTGTTTCTTTTTTGCTACATTGTCTTTGGTGAAGTGAACCAGTTTGTATCTGGTTGTTTTATTCTTTGAAGTTCTAGAAATACCCTATTTCAAGTTCTCAATTTTTTTTACTGTATAAATTCCAGGGGAAAAAAGTGAACTTACTCATTATTTAGATCTCCACATATCATATTTGACTACAAAGTTTGGCTACTGAGCTTTTGAGGAGCGAGTTTCCTGCAAGTGCAGGAAGGTCTTCTGCTATGTGAAGCAGGCATAGCTCTTAAACCCTGCTTTAAGTTGTTACTCTAGTGGCTTCTGCTGCTTCAGCAGCTAAGAAACAGTTAAGAGACTCAGCTGGAAATGTGTACAGATTGAGCATTTTAAACCATTTAAGTTTAAATATGCTTTTCAAACTGCATAGACTGAACTATACAGACACGAAACATAACATACCAAAAAAACGCTTGTGGTTTTGTTAGCATTTTAGTTACACTAGCATATGCACAACGGTTTGTCAGGTGTTTATTCTGAATGGTAGCCTTTTGACTGTCCAACGAGAACACCGAATATGAACTGTTCTGCCTAAAGGTATTTCAAAGTACTCTTTCTTATGATATGAGAAGAGCTTATTTGACTTTAGAATGATTGTTTCTGAAAGGAGTATGTGTTACATTGCAGAAGTGGCACATCAGAGTGACTGGGATAATATTGTTGCCTGCCATCAAGGGTATATAACCTGTACAACCTGGAACTATCAGAAAACTTCAATGGGAGCTCATAAACTGAGGCCAGAAGAATTTAGCAAACACAAACCTATTGATATATATGCAACAGTAAGTTTATTTAGGATAATGTTTCTTCAGCATGGCAGTATATGCTATTTTGATTTCTATTTGTACAGAAGCAACATTTGGAATGAAAAAGCACTATCTAGATGTGTTTTAGTTACTTTGCAAAGTGCTTTCTGCCAGCTCAGTGTGTCCTACTAGCTGTTTCGTAATGCATATGGTCTTAAGAAAAATGCTGCATATGCATTTTTTCCTTAAACATCCGGGTTAAGTGCAGATTTTATTTTCTGATTCAGATGGGTGGTTGGTGTTCACCTTTAATCTGTCATAGTGGTGTAGAGTTGACTATATACCTGTGATGATAAACTTGCTCTGTGAATGCAAGTTGCTGAAGATAATTTTTTCTGGCAATATGGAAACATGTATTTCCAAATAACAGGCAGAGTATTCCCTCTAAAATGCTTTACAGCTTGAGCTGGACACAAAGAAAGTCAAACACGCAATGAAAGATATAAATGTTTACTGAGGCTTATGAGCTTGCAAGACAAGTAGTTGCTGTGGCATACTTCATGTGCTAGGTGTTCATACTACCACTGTATCTTGTGATAAATTGTTTTTCTGACCTTATGCTTAGCAGTTAAGCAGTACACAAAATCAGTTGAGTTGTAAATACCTAGTTTTCTTTTAACTACTGGATTCTTTGGACTGTATCTTTCCAAAGACATCTAGACCATTGTTTCTCTGTTTTTTACTATTTAAACTCTGTGTGAACTTAACCTATTTTGGGGTGCCATTGCCAATACGGGCAGTGAAAGAGGCATGCAGTCAGCATGCTTGGACTTTATCTTAGGGATTGAATTTGTGGATGTCTTGATTATATAGGTTAGTCATTTGGGTTACAGTGTTGATATTATTAGGTATGACTTCTGATGGATGTCACTAAGTCAGTATTTCATTATCATTCATAAGCATGCACTGCCATATTTATTACTTTTCGACTATTTGCTTATTTTAAGAGCTCCTCTCTACTTTTTTGAGATGCAATCTGTTGTTTGTTATGTGCAGTTTTCTTTGAAGAAGTCTAATAAAAACATATTAGCATTTTGTATTCCTGGTATGTTATATATCGTCTAACATGTTTGCTAATTAGATACACACTTAAAGAATTATTTTCATAGGTGCTTTTTTTTTCCCCCCTTGAAAGGCAGTTGACATTACCTCATGTGGGAACTTTGCTCTAATTGGGCTGTCAACTGGACGGGTAGATGTGTATAACATGCAGTCTGGCATTCACAGAGGGTGTTACGGCAAAGAAACAGGTAAGAATTGCTACACTTTTAAAATACTGACTCTTAACAGAACAGCAACAACCTGGTGTTTTGTCATCTAGTAAATTTAACATAGCTTCTGAGTTGAATTTGGGAATCTTTTCAGATTCTCTAATTACCCTACACTGTCCTATCTTGCGCTGTAATCAGGAGTAATTTGAAACATACTCCAAAGGACAGGGTCCCTGCTAGTTTTAACAGCTCTGATTTTAGCATATGTTTGGTTTTAATTAATGCAAAATTGTCAGTTGCCAAAATGGTTAGCACTAAAATGAGATCCTCTGGCCTCAGCTCTTTTTGAGATAATCACATTTCCAGTACGTGGCTTCTTGTTACAGGGTTCTATGTCTGAGATAAATTTTCCCATCTGTTTTGTGCTCCCTGCTTAAAAATGAAAGAATGCTTTACATGCTTGGGAAATTGAAATCCTAAGCGAGTCCAGTTCTTTGCATATGCTGTTATTTACAATTACCCAGCTGCAAACTTAGGACTTAATGTGACAGCGTTCAGACTTTTCCTTTTAATTGTTGGATACGTATATATTTCATGTCATGCATCCTCATGTATGTTTGCTGTTGCTTTGTAAGTCTGCAGTTGATAATAGGGCCCTCGTGATCTGAAATTTTTTGTTGCAGAAACAAGGAAAGAGTCCTGATGAACCCTTAAGCCCTACTGGGTTTCTAAAAGCCATCTAGAATAGCAAACATGAAGTAGTCTCCTAATAACATTATTGGTTTACAGTGGGATGAATTTTATAAGTTTGGTTACTGGCCAGTACCCTAGGCATAGATTAAGAAACAAAATTGATCTGAAACCAGAGGAGCTATGCCTTATCTTTACGCTGCAGTGTAAAGTAGCCTAGGAAAACTCTCAGACTTTGTGGCAGAACTGAAGCTGTAAATTTTGTCTGGAGTTGTCGGATCCTCTGAAGGCATTCCATAGGTGATTCACAAAGTCCCTCAAATCTCACATTCAAAAAAGGCCCCCCAAACTGAAAGCAGAAATAAAAGCTAATATTCAGCTTCAATTACTCACAACTTTTGAACTCTATTCTAGGTGCTTACTTGAAAGCAATTTGGCTTCTGTACTGACAAAGAAGCTTCTAATATTCGAGCAGTCTTGTCAGCTGGCTTTAGAATTGTTTGTCACATGCCTACTGCTCATTTATTGTAGTTAGGCGGATGTACAGAATAGCGTTTGACATTCTCCTGATTTCTATGCTATGTTTAAATTCTGAAATACAACTTTCTTTTCCCTTGATTTGCAGCACATGAGGGGGCCATTAGAGGGGTGGCAGTGGATGGATTAAACCAGCTGGTAATCACAGCTGGTAGTGAAGGATTAATTAAATTTTGGAAATTCAAAACTAAAGATCTAGTTTATTCCACTGAGCTTTCTTCTTCTCCAAGTGGAATTCTGCTTCACAGAGACAGGTAAGAAACTGAAGGTATTTCAGGTGCTTATTGTTTTGCTGTAAGTACATAAGTCTAGGATGACAACCAAATATTCTAATAAAGTTTAAATTTCTGATGCTTTGAAATACAACTGACTACTAGTTGACAAAACAAAATGACTACAAGACATTTTATTAGACTGAAGGAATGTAATAACTGTGTATCTGAGATTATCTCAGGATAAAAGATTTTTGGAGCAATGTTAAGATGTTGTTTTTATTTTTTGTCTCTGGAGTATTCACTATCATGTGCTAATGATTCTTGGCAGTGGTATTCTGGGAATAACCTTTGATGACTTCAGTATTAGTGTTCTGGATATAGAAACCAGGAAGATTGTCAGGACGTTCTCAGGACACCACGGACGGATTAATGACATGGTAATTGTTAATTCATTTTCTGTAACAGGTGGCATATACAAATACCTAATTAGTTTTAAAGATGATGGATTTCTCTGCGTATATTAAGCCACTGACTATTATGTTCAGCTGTGAATAGTAAAGTTACAGTTCAGCTTTACAGCAGTTTTGGCCATGTTAGTTTTCAAGTTAAAATGTAGAGTGTTCAAATGGCCATGTATTTTTACTGTGCTTTGGGATTTTACTATAACTTTGCAACAAGCTCATTTTGGGTTTAACAAAATAAAGCATTAGGAATAGTGGAAACCATGTTGAGGAGCAAAATTGTGCAACGGTCGTAACTGTGTATATGGAAAAGATGAGCCAGGTAAATAAAAGGTGTAAACAGATCTGAGATTATGCAATGCACTGGTAATTCCTTATTTTACATCTTGTGCAATAGTGCTTTGTAGTGTTCATTGAAATAGTTTTTAGCTTCTGATTTAATTCTAAGTGCTAGTAAGGAAGTATTTATTTGATTTCTTCAGTTTTATGCTCAGTGGTTTTCATCATTAATGTAAAAGTGCGGACTAAAGTACTTTTGCTAATAGGTAGATGTATCCTGTGTCATATATTTAAACCTGTTCTGAAATAGCTTCCATTTTTGTCATATTTTGCTTTCATTAAGGTGGTGTCAGTTTTGTTTTATGGCCACACCATTTCATCCTGGTGTTAGGGAACAATCTAATCTAGAACTGTGTAAAACTGGACCTCCTGTAGGGACTGACTTGTAGTTGTGTAATTGAATTGACTATTTTATTTTAGACTTTCAGTCCTGATGGTCGTTGGCTAATAACTTCATCCATGGACTGTACCATTAAGACTTGGGACCTTCCTTCTGGATGGTGAGTCAGTTGAAAAACATATAGCAGAAATTTATTATAATCCCCTTTCTGTTTGTTAAGTGGTAAAAAGCCTTCTGGCTTGATTATCTGTCACCAACCTCTGCTATGTGATATTCAAAGTTGCACATGGTGTAGCAACTCAGTAAGCAGTATTGTAGTTGTGCGTGATGCTAGCAATATGTGCCTTTTTCTGGGTATACAGAATAACAATGTCCTGAAGATCTAATGATGACACCTGGAGTTTTCATGTAGTGTGAATGAGTGCAACTTTGTTCTTTGTCTGGAAGCAGCACTATAGTCTAAGTGGCAAGAGATCACTTAAGGTGAATTGCTTTGTGATATGCTGAAGTATTCATAGAGTCATAGAATGGTTTGAGTTAGAAGTTGCCTTCAAACATCTAGTCCAACCCCCTGCCATGGACAGGGACATCTTTCACTAGATCAGGTTGCTCAAAGACCCGTCTAACCTTACCTTGAACAATTCCAGTGATGGGCCATCCACGACTTCTCTTGGCAACCTGTTCCAGCGTCTCACCACCCTCATCATAAGAAATTTCTTCCTTTTATCCAATCTAAACCTACCTGCATTCAGTTCAAAACCCTTGCGCCTTGTCCTGTCAGTACAGGCCCTGTTAAAAAGTCTCTCTCAGTCTTTCTTATAAGTGCCCTGTAAGTATTGAAAGGCCACAAGAGGGTCTCTCCAGAGCCTTCTGTTCTCAAGAGTGGACAACCCCAACTCTCAGCCTTTCTTCATAGGAAATGTATTCTAGCTCCCTGATCACTCTTCTGGACCTGCTCTAACTTCGTGTCCATCTTGTGCTGAGGGCCCCAGAGTTGGATGCAGTACTCCAGTTGGTATTGTAAATGGAAGCCTGTTCTCACTTACATTCATTTTAGCAACACAATAAAGGTTTACTTCAGTTCTATTTTTCATTTGTGCATGCCTGCAACTGCCAAAAATACTCTTTTTATGGTCCACTGTGAGTAGTCTTCTCCCAGAATGAAATTTGACCAAGAAGTACACAAGTACACACAAGAAGTTCAGGAGCCCAGAAGAAAACAGACCGGAAAGTAACTTTGAGTTGTGCCGGTGCATTCTTTTAACAGTACATCAGGTAGATTTTTAGTAATTTAAAGTAGTGCTATGCAGTGTGCAGTTCTGGTCCTACCTGGGACTGAATGGTTTCATTCAGATTGATTACTTTTGTTGAGGTGGTTTGGTAAATAATTTTGTATACTGTAAAAGTTTTCATTTTACTAGAAAAGTGTGTTGAATCTCAACAAACAATTGACCTATTCTTACATGATGAATGACACTACTCTAAAATGGGACAGGATGGACAGTAACTGTCTTCCATCCAGTATAAATGAGAGGGAACTTAACACTCTATTTGGAATTCCTCTTTCAAACCCAGCGTTAATTATAAATCTTCAGAAATGTTACTCGTGTCTTTCATTTCTTTAATAACATAATACTTTGCAGTAATAATTCATTCATACTGTTTTTTAAAAGTAATCTAACAGTAGATCTTGTTTGCATGTAACACGTAAGTGAATATTTTGTCTCTTCTCTCTTAAGTAACTGCAAGAAGTTCTCGTCAAGCTGAAATCTAGGCAGGTACATGACAAACCCTGTTTTTGAAAGTAACTAGGTTAAATTGTTCTTCCGGAATTTAAAGGAAAGCTTTTTCCATAACTATAGGCAGAGGAGTGTATTGAAAAGGAAGAACGGCTTTTAATAAAAAGCCAGATGCTCGATTTACTTCTGCTCTAGTATATTTGTTCATAAATAGAACAACCAAATTATAAACTGTGCATTCTAAAGACTCAGCTTTGATATTGTCCTTACAAAAGGATGGAAAACATGTTTTTAGATGACTAAGTCCTATGTTATGGAAAATACCAACTGACTTTAATAGATGTCATATCATTTACTTACTGAACATCTCTTTTAACTTGAGAATGCTGCTTAACGGTCCTTACATAATGTAAGTATACTTAGTGCATGTTTTTTATGTAGGGCTTTTTGAGAATTGGGGAAAAAAATTACCCATTTCTGTAGAGAAAGTTACAAGCAGGAACCTTGGCATTATGCATTTTTTTTTTTCTGCAGTGCAGCTTGCATAGACAAATTAAGGAATTGAAGGTACAAGCTGACTGTTTATAGTTTGGATGGAGTACTTGAGACAGAGTGGTGTAAGAAACGTGTTGATATTGCAAGCTCAACAATTTTATACTTTCCATTGTCTGACTTTTGCAGTTAGGCAGGAAGTGTAAAGGTAAATGCCTTCAGCCCCCAGGCAGGATTCATTTAGCGATTACTGTACGTTTTGTGTAAAAATTGCAAGCATGTCTCTCATTGTCCTATAGTGGATTGATTCCTGCCTCCTCCCCCCCGCCCCCAAGTCTGTAATTTCAATCATTTAAATTCCGTAAGTAGAAAAACTTAATGTTATCTTTGTTTTGCAGTTGTTCTTTATGGTTGCTTTATTGAACAATATTTCTCAGTTACTCATAAAGATTGATGGATTTGAAACTAAAAACAGTATGGTAAATTTTCTAGCCATTGTGCAGTGTGTACAGAATGTATCAGTGTAACTTATACATGTTCTGGCATTTATGGGTTTAGTATTTATACAGTTTATGTTGAAAGTGATGAATGATATGGCTGTTGCCTGATTACTTTTTACTTGTAACTTGTGTCTAATAGCATGCAGAAGAAATAAAACATTCCATTCAGGGAAAAAAATGGCATTTATTTTTAACATAGTTTGTCAAACCATCACAGGAGTGCTCAATACCTAAGAAAAAATGCGCCCACAAGATATTACATTTTAAACTGCTGTGTTACATCAATATTTTTTCTATGGTTAGTGAGCAGAATGGGGTTGTTCTCACTTTGCTTTTGATTTTGGTCTGTAAACAAGAACAAAGTATTCAAGCTCCCCATTTGTTCTTTTTGTTTCTCTCAATGAACTAGTTGTCAAACTCAACTGCTGCTTAAAATTTGAAGTAACTGATACTTATACCTCAACAAGTGACAAGCAGTGCTGTGAACCTGGGCCTGAGTGGAAGTCTACTAGGGTGTGCATCATCCAGGACTTGTGGCATCATCCAGAACTCAAGTGGCTTATTGTTAAAATAGTCACATACTACTGAATATTTTAACTTTCTTTTGATGTGGTGTTTTTTCAGTTTTCTGCAACAGTGAAAGGAATGGTATATCAGGCTGTAATGTCAAAACAAACTGTTGCAGATAATAAAATTTTGCAGTGTACAGTTAATTCATTACTTTAGGAACATTGGGTCCTAGTGTTAACCAGGTGTATATGAAGTATCTTGAGAGAAGGAATTGACAGTTAACAGCAAAGCATTAAAAGATGAGGTCAGAGCAGCCTGGGGCTGATTGGAAGTATGAAATTTATGGCCACTAAAAAGGTTAGCGTTAGGCATAAGGAGTTGAATGTGAATGCATGGGTTATCATATTTTCCACAGAATGTGGATGTCTAAGGAGGTAATATAAATGTACGAGCTGTAACTGATTTTAGACAATTTGAGAGGTGAGTGGTTTGTTGCACAGTGCCATTCATGTGCTAAGTTTATATGTCATATCTGAATACTTACTTCTAATATGCTGGTTTGTATACATACTTCCTGTGTCCTGCTTGCATACAATCATATTTGCGGTGTAATTAAGATATGCATAGATAAACAAGTTCATCTTGCTGAGAATTCGTCTGTTGTGTTTTCTCTCCTTAGCCTCATAGATTGTTTTTTGGTAGATTCGGCAGCTGTGAGCCTTACTATGTCTCCTACAGGAGATTTTCTAGCTTCAGCACATGTGGATGATCTCGGAATTCATTTGTGGTGAGTATGTAATATATCTGTTTCTACACGGAATTTCAGATGGGGAAGAATTCTTTTAATCACCTTTATTGCAAATAGAGAATTGTTCTGCAAAGTATCGTCTCCAAGGTTTTGTCTTCTCTGGTTCTAATTAAGACAGGTATTCTCTATTGTTGTGATTCATAAATCTTGAAATCACTTGTCGTTAAGATATTTACTCTGATAATTAAATTATCTCTTTTTTTCTAAATGTTTCTTTCTTACTCTAAAGAAGTTCTGTTACACCATTCCTAAAGTTTTTCTTTAACTCTGCTGGTTTCTTTTACCCTTTTTGAAATATCAGTGCTCATATACTGTTACTTTCTGAAGGGCTTTTCTTCTTGTCCTGGTATACAGTGCTGTCTGAGACTTCTGAGTAGAATTTGGAAGTTGGCGATTATTTCTGTTTGTTAATCATAGATCAGCACAGATGTAAAATGTGGTTTAGTTCAATTTCCTCCTGTTATGGCTTGAAAGCAAATGACTGGTTAGGTCCAGTACTGAAGTAACACACCTTTTAAGTGTTTTGGTTTCTTTTTTTTTTTTTCCATTTGATTGGTAAATAGATCTTTCAGGTTACATTTGTTGCCTGTCATTTTGCCTGAGGGGTGTTCAATTGTTAGACCTTTCCATGCTTAGATAAAAGTGCTTCATTGTGAATAATGACAAATGTTTTTACCTAACCCTGGTTTACATTGACAGAAAAAATCATTTGCCAGAATGACTTGTGTGCATGTTCCAAACCTCAAGAATGTTTGCTAAGAGTACTACTCTGAAATTCTGTGAAAGCAGGATGAATCATTTATATTTGCATAATGTATTGTACATATTAAGTACAAAGCAGATAGGCAATTTTGCAATTTCAAGTAAATGCAGTAACTGGCAATGATTGAAGTAATCATACTTCATAACGCCATGTGTATTAAATGTTCTTGGCAATAATACTTCAGCGTAACTTTTATGTTTCAGACTTTTAGATGATGTATATTGCTATGTTTCATTTCTTGTTTATCTGGTAGATGAGGAAAACTAATCTTGAACAGAACCTGGTGAATTGCCATAGTGCAGTAGTATTAGACTGCAGTAAAAATTATGTCTAAAATACTTGTTGCCACTCACCTGAAAATTGTTTTTAAAATGCCTGTCTTATTTTTCAGGTCCAATCGTTCTCTGTATTCACTTGTCTCTTTACGGCCACTGCCGGCAGATTATGAACCTTCTCTGGTGACACGTCCTAGCACCTGCCCTGTGCAAGGTAATCTTCAGGTGAAAGAGTATTTTATTTTCAGTTTGGCATTCTATTTCAAATAGAGATGGTTTGCTTCCTCAGTGAAAACGTACTGTGTCGTAGCATTCTTTGTCTGAACTGTTCCTATTGTGTCTACCATTTTTGGCATACTTACTCATATGCTAATATTATTTACTAAAATCTAGTCATGTTTCTATGTTCAGACATAAAGAATTACATTGGGATGATCTCCACATCTTCAAGGAGATTTTGTAGGTAATAAAAACATATGTGCTATTTGCTGGCTTTCTGTAATCCCAGACTTGTGTAAATATCTTCTGTGTTGACATCCATGAGGCCAGTTTGAAATTAATGTTACTGTTTGGCAGTGGGAAGGGGATTGTTCCTTGTTCCACTTCCCTCCAACTTTTTTGTCTGCCTGTATGCCGTGGTAGTTTCACTGCTGTATATTGTCTTGTTGGCAAGAGAATTGGGTTCAGCTGACCTGCCATGTACCTGTGCTAGATTGCCAGTGAAAGAAAGGCCTAAATTGCGTTTTTGATACATTTAATAATAGAAATGGTTGTGCTTCTGAAGGCCCCTAGATGGAGATCTTGTCTGCCCAAGTTCAGCGGTGCCTACGTTTAGATCTCTGACTGGAGGAGAAACACACCTAGCTATTGACCACATAAAAGAGCCAGGAACATACTTGATGATGACTGCTTTATTAAGCACATACTTATTTTAGATACTTAAATTAGGGAGGCAGGATTTCATCCCAAAACTTTGAATGTTTTAATCCTATAAACTGATTCTGGCTGAACGCTTTAGTTCACTTTCTGTCTTCAGCAAATGTAAAGTTCCTGTTGAGATACTCAGAGCTTTTAATGGTTTACATTTCTTTGTTCTTTAAGGCTTTTCTATTACATTCAGGGTTTCAGCCTTGTAATATTTTGCAAAAAGGAAGAGACAGTAGAGGTGTTTGGTCAAGACCACATAGGAAGTCTAGAGAAAACCTAATGACAGACTGCGTATCTTTTGTTCTGTGATGTTGTGCTTTAATGTTGAGATTTTCTTCATTTTTATGTGCCACTTCAGTCATACCGATGAACAAGTTGTGAATATTGTGCGTATTTAAATGCAAAGAGTTTGCAGATTTGTAACTCAGAACTAAAATTGCTGGGTATATATTTTAAAACAGTTAACAATATTTTCAAAGTAATCCATTGTTCTTCTTTTAGGACTTTGAGAAATTGCTTTTATATCATTTCAGCCAAAGTGGATAAATCCTGTTAGTCTTTTAAAATCTTGTTTATCCAATTCTGCATTCTAGCTATAATTGTTCACAATTTAAACTTAATATTTCATAGGGTTAATAAAGATTGTTTCTGTAGCTTTTCAGCTATATGTTATGCTGGCACCCATATATATAGCTTTTATGCATGTGTTTTTCAAAAATTGCAAAAGAAATAATCATGTTGTTTTGATTTTTAAAAAAATAAATGTGAAGTATGTATGTTCGTAAGAGATATCTGTTCTTGAAAGATGTGGATGTGGCAGAAGATGAAGAAACATGTGATGAAATGATAGAATATGTCTCACCTGAGCAATTGGGAGAGCAGCTGGTGACCCTTTCCTCATTACCGGAATCAAGGTGGAAGAATCTCCTCAATCTTGATGTTATCAAGGTAATGATATTAGGCACACCATTGCTTATCTACTCTAGTATTTGGATTATATTTTTTAAGGAGGTAAAATAAGGGCTATTTGTTCTGTGATGTAAAACAGACGGTTGTCTTAACCATTCTCTTGGATGCTCAAAAAATCTTGCAAAGGAGGAACTGTTTCATAACTTTTGCTATTACTGTTTCTGCAATATGCAAAATAGCTGTCTGAAGGTAGATGTTTCCATGTCAATGCAGCTAAAGAGTGCCTGTAAAGCTGCTGTAGGTTATGCCTCCAAATCACTGTCAGGCATTCCCATAACCAGAAAAAGAGGGAATGTGCAAAAAATAGCAGTATACGGCCAGTTATGTTTGCCCTTGTTCTATGAGCTGCATTTACCTAATCAGAAAATTTGATCCCACTTTTCAGTTATTTTTCAAGATTTTGCAGTAGAAGACTATATGGTGCTTTTCACAATTTCTGGGATTTGGGAGAGGGGCTGTTTTTCTTCTAAGTAGTAGCTTCATATTTAGTTGTAAAACATCTTACCAATGTATTTACTTTTCAGTTTGTCCTTAAAATTTTCATAGCATTTTAAAAGTAAAACTCTTGATAAAGAAAAATTCCTGCATGTTCTTACTATGATGATGATTTTAATTCAAGTATCTAATTAACAGAAAAAAAATAAACCGAGAGAGCCACCAAAAGTTCCCAAGTCGGCCCCTTTCTTCATCCCAACAGTTCCTGGTCTTATACCCAGATACATTGCTCCAGAGGAAGAAAATGATACACAGGTAAAACCAAGAATCAATATAATAGTGTTTATCTAGCATATTTTAAAATAAAATCTTAAATGCTTTTTAGTGCTGAGTGGAATCCTGCTAAAGACTTTAAAGTACCAGTTTTAACACATTTACATTAATGCTTTCTTTCTTAAAGTCTTTTATTCTGTCAGTAGGAAACAAATCTAATTGAGATGTAAAAATGTGTTTGCATATTCATGTACACTCTTTTATCCTTTCATGGTCTAGTCAAAGGTAGTAAACCTTGGAGTACTGGCACAGAAATCTGATTTCTACATTCATCTTGAAGAAGCCCTGAGCACTAATGAATGTAAGTTAACAAGACATTTCACTAAAAATGTAGATACTAATAATATTTTGATATACGTTTGATTTCTAATGCAGAGGAAAAAAAATATGCATAGTACAGTAGCAAAGGCAAAGAGAGTGACCTGTTATGTATAAAGCGAATACATAGATGGCCTATCTAGATCAAAGATCCATTGGTACTCAAGCTTGCATGCAGCACGAAGCCCAGTTCTAGCTAAAACCCATACAGGGAAAGAAGGTAACATTCCTAAGATTGTTAGACTTTTTTTGAGACTGTGATGATCTCACCCAGAAAAGGTGCTATGTATTATTTGTAGGGTAAGAAAGGAAGGGAATGATCTGGTAAGGAATAGTCTGGTGATTCACTGAAACATGAAAAACATAATTTGCCTAGCAAGTTCTGTTTTGAAGGGCTACTTCAGTAGACATTCAGCAATCTTAGAGTTTTAATTGATTGCTTTATAATTTAAAGCTTAGGAAGAAATAATTGATATTAAAAAAAGCTGTTGGATTTCTTTTAACATTCAATTAATTTTGAAATTCAGTCCCTTAAATTGCCTGTGGAATGCACCTGCTGTTTTTCCTGTTTAACTTGTGCTGCTACAGGAGCACTGAAATTTAGATTTTTGGAAATGTAAATGGACAGTCACTGGTAGCTTGTCCACAAGGCACTTCTGCTGGGAATTTTTCTACCTCTTAAACTCTTTTGAGATGACCAGCTTACTCAACTGCACTTAAAACAGTCTGTGTGCAGAACTTCATTATCTATCACAAGCAAGGTGTGTTTTTATGCTGTGTTTTTAGTATTTCAATTGATAGTATTCTATTAAGCTGCTTCAGAGCTGCTCAGCAAAGAATGAAACATCAGGTGAATATTTAAAAACCTAACCAAGCACCTAGAGGCTGCCAGTACCAGGGAGCAAGTGAACTCCATGATGCATTGCAGTAGTGGTCCCGTGGGCCTCCCTCAGGCCACCTTTCTGCTCCAAGGCAGGTGCGCTCCAGGGTCTGTGCTGTAATCCCAATCCAGAGAGCCTGTTGATGCTGACTTGGGAAGCTGCTGGTGTGTAACATGGCTCTGCGGTTGCTACTTTACAAGGATCTCTTGTAAAGGTACCTAGGCTATGCAAATAAACAGTATTATACTAGAAGCCATCCTGGCTTGCCATTGGAACGGAGACAGGGTTTCATAGCTCAGATCAGAACTATGGAACATAGATTGAGCGGGGCACCTTTTCCATATTGTATGTGTACCAACTTCGCAGTATGTTCCATGCTTATTTTTTTTAATGTCACAGCACAAAAATGAGTTAATGCATCTGTTTAGTATTGTTAATATTGCAATTACATTTAAAACTAACTAATGATTTTCATAGGAATCAAATACAGACGGAAACAGATTTATACTACTTAAGGAATATTAGCCAATGCCTGATACTATTAGTTACCATGATATAAAAGTATAAGAAATTGCTCTTTTTAGCAACTTCTTAGCAAAAGAAATATTAATTAGAAGACATTTTTAAAAATGTTTTTACCAACAGCTGTGTTTGCAACCATAGATATTTTTATATCTGCATTTTTAAAGCAAATGGATTGAATTCTCAAAGATTAGGTAGGATTGTAGAAATCCTGAGGAAGAACATTTATGAAGAGGAGGAAAGAGTTTGTGAATTGCATGTATTTCTACCAGGGAAAAGATTTCCCCCACCCCACCACCCCGCAGGTCCCAGGAAAAGCAGGAGGAATTCACTTAACAAAATTAATAATTACCTTAGAGGCACCAGATGATCCTTGATTTAGCTTGATGTCAATAAGATTAAACACTGTGAAGGTTCCTAGTAAAAGTAGTACCCTGTCTCTTCTAGGATATATTTGCAGTAACAGCCTGAAGTCCTGAGTATATACATTCTTTTTGCCAAGAGGTGTAATATGACAACGTTATACGGTTAATAAGAAATTTTGTTCAGCTTGAAAGACAGAAATGGGAAACAAGTGATACAAAGATGTTACTTGTATTTTTTAGGGTGAATTTACGAATAAAATGCAACTGTGTTATTAGAGATGTACTTCTCTGTAGTATGTGATGGGACAGTAAATTCAAGGCAGGATGGCATTTTGTGGAAAACAAAAAAGTAAGGAAACAGTAGAAACTTGAAAAATACAGCCTCTGCTTAAGAATTTTGGAATAAGCCTGTCCACGTGAAGGATTTATAGGATTCTTTTCTGCAAATGTTAACTGATAATATATCCCTCAATGCTTTAACACAGATACAGCTCCACTTAACTTACTGAAAAGCTTGGGACCATCTAATATTGAGATAGAACTAAGGAGTTTGGCCCCTGAAGGTGGTGGCTCAGTGGAGGTGATGCTAAGCTTTTTGAGAATGATTGGGATGATGCTGAACAAGAAGTACAACTTTGAACTTGCTCAGGCATACCTTGCACTATTTTTAAAGGTAACAATTGTCTTATAAAATTTTATGTTAGTCCTGTTTAAAATGATGGGTGTCTGGTAAAAGGATGTAAATCGTCTGCTCGAAAGAATTATCTTAAGTGATTTTTGTTGGGGATGGTTTTAAAATGACTAACTGAATGTATTGGATAATTTGACAACTCATCTGGTCACAGTCAAGAAAAACAGATACTGTGAAGAGGACCATGCTAGACAGGTTTTATTCTAGTATTCATTATTTAGGATTGTTTTTATTTTTTGTAACATACCTAACTGCTTAATGATTGTTAATTGCTAAGATATGCTATGTCTTAAGAAAAGAATTCAATGCACAATGTTTGGGGAAGTAAAATAAGCCTTTTGTTGGACTTATCACTAGACATTGCAAGCCTGACTTTTACTTTTCATGTCAGCGGGCTGTCTTTCTTCTGTTACCTGTTAAGCATCACAGAGCTAATGAAATTATTCCTAGGTGTGTGGAAGTTAGAAAGTTATTGTGATAAAATACAGTAGCAGTTACTCTTAGAGAGAAGGTGGTTCTGCAGAAGATTCAAACTCTTCTGATGTACAAATGCTCACCATGTCAAGATATTCTGATTTGTGAAACTACGGGAAAGCAATTAATTACAGTTTACTAGGAAGAAGTTATTATAGACATTCAGACATAGGTAATACTGTCTAACTGAATGCTTCTTAATAGCAATATTACAGGGGTTGGTTTTAAAGATAGAGTGTAATGCTGGATAAATATACTTGCTCTTTTCCTTTTGATGGGGTTAAACAGAATGCGTGGGGCAGCTTCCACAAGAACAGCTAGTGCAAACAAACAGGAGTAGATCTGTAGAGTGAAACACTTGGGGTTGAGGTCTTGATACTCATTCACCAGTGGCTTTTTATCATGTCTATTTATTTTTAGCCTGGTCCCATGGACTGGACATGATTAATAGTTGCAATCTTAAACGTTAGAATTCATCTTTCTGTTTAGTTTCATACAAAAGATATGTGGTTCTTGCAGGGTAGAATAGGGACAGGTAGGTAATTTGCTTCAGAAATGTACTCCTGATCTGAACTACAGTAGAATAATATAAACTCACCCTGTGACACATGAACACCAATATATTTTGTTGTAGGTTCCCAGTAAAACAGCTCTGAGCTTAGCAAGACTCCTAGATTTAAGTTGTAGCCAGGAAAATACAACTATTCCATGCTTTAAGTGGTAATAATGTATTGCCTCTCTACAGGATTGAGAGGTTTATTTTCTTTATGCTTTACCAAGGCTACTGTTTATTACACAGATAGACATCATCTCCCTGTATCAATAGAGTGTGCTGACATCATTCTTCTTGCTTTATGCAACATGGATAATTAAAATCATAATCCCAATTGACCTCAGGGCATCTGTTTAGACTTTCTAGCCTAAAGAGGAATTTCTGATGCAGGTTGGAAAGAGGAGAAAGTTACCCTCTAAAGAAGTGTGTGATTAGGATAGATTCAGCAGCAGCAGCAGATCTAGTAAAGCAGTAACATATTTAAGACATTTTGCTGCCTTATCCCATCTAATACATATGTAGGAGTAAAATGGCTTGTAAAAGACTAGCAAAAGGGAGGCAGCATTAAATGGAGGGAATTAATTGAAGGAAAAGTGTCCTTCCTTTACTTGGGACATTCCTGAAAGCAAAGTATTGGAATTGAATGAGGAAACAGATCTTTAAATTTTTTTATTATCTGTATTTGTTTCACTAATGGCTTGTTTTTATTTTTAGTTACATCTTAAGATTCTCTCATCAGAGCCAAACCTATTGGAAGAAGTATCCAGATTGTCAACACAACTTGAGGAAACTTGGATTCATCTGCGGACTCTCTTCAATCAGAGTCTGTGTGTGTTAACATATATGAAAAGTGCTTTGCTGTAAAATACCTAAGGGTTTTGTCTGCATAAAATTCCCCTCAGAATAATAGTACAATTTATTACCAAAAAATACTGGATTCCAAGAATTATACTGGGACTTCTGATGCTGTATTTTATACATCTGTGTATGGCAAAGTATTTTAGAACATGCATAACTGAGTTTTTTTTTTTTTTTTCACTTCAGTCAGAGAAAAAATTAATATGTGCAGCTTAAATATTCATGTTGTGTTAATTTCTGGTGTCAGTGAACAAACAGTTGGACAGCTATAGGTAATGTACCTAGCTACCTTGTGTTTTCATGACCAAAAATGTAGATCAGAATGAAGAAATGACCTGCAGGGAAAAAAAAACAGTGATAATGTAATTTCTGTCCAGGAGATGAAAATTTATATTGTTCTTGATGAACAGTTATTGTTGATGCAAAAATAAAACTAGAAGTCTGAATTATTAACAATTTATTAACATTAGTTTAAAGCAAATGATTATAAAAATTGCAGTCCTCTGCAATCAGAGCGCTCTTCCTATAAAGTTTGTAAAAATTAGTTTTCTTCTCACTTTGGCAAGCTGTGTTCACTATTTTGCATCAGACACCTATTTCTGAAAGCAAAGATTTCTAGGTGCACTACAAATTATGGAACTTGAAAAAAAACAAAGCTAAACCAAAAAAACTCACCCATTTTTTGTAAGCAGGTTTCTTGCTCTAATTTTGGAGGCTCAATTTCTTAGAAAAATTAGGATTCTTTTCTCAAGGAGATAAAGATTACTGGAATAAAAGCTTTTTGTTGTGGGGAATTTTTAACTGAATCAGATGCTATTTTTATTAGTTGATATTTAGGTTTCAAATAATAAGGTTTGGGCAGAGTTTGGGAACTCACGAATACGATTATCTTAAACTTTGGTCTTTGAGAGTACTGCCTCACAGCAGAAGAATATCCTGAACAAGGACTTTGCTGTATTTCACATGCTGCAGCTACAGGCATAGACTAACAGAGTAACTAAAACAAGTATATGCAATTTTGATGAGGAAACTTGAAAGATGGGTTCCTTGCATTTGGCATAAGTTTTGTTGTTCTATATATGTGGGTTTGTTTTTTTTTTTTTAATGCTATCACATTATGGAATTCTATTAGTTATGTATCACAAACAAATTATTTGCAACCATGTACATGCAGCGTAGAGTACAGAATACTGCCTGAAACAAGTGACAATTCCACATGTATCCTGCAATCAGCATCCCTTTGGGTGCTCAAATTTGCAAGAAAAGTCATCAGGGTTTTTAAACGATTGCAGAGGTGATGGGAAGTCAGCTTTTACAGCTTCTCTATGGTGTTCTGACTGTTCTTTATCCATAACTGACTCATATTAAAGCCTGAAGAGAACAGAGAAATACGGAAGTTTACAGACTGTGGCATTCTAGCCGTTTAGGACTGAGAATGTGGAGTCCATGGGAATGATGTACACCTGAGGGTTTTTTAATGAAGTTTACTACTGAGATTTAAGAAAATCCTTTGTACCATAGAATGATTAACTTCTGGTGATATGATTCTCAAGAATCCATTACTCCCAATTTCTTGAGTGGATCTGAAGCAGTTCCAAATCCCTCAAATGTCAATGTAATACATAATAAACCTCTGAGCTTATAGGTGTTATGTAAGTAGTGTAGAAGACCTTAATCAATCATTTTTTGAACCAAGACATTATAATATTAAAAGATGAGTAAGTCAGGAGTTGTGGACCTGCCTCAGTAGAAGGAACAGTGGATAAAGAACTTTTCTCTTGGATCAGAGCAAAGGTCTGTCAGGCCTAGTGTTGTGTCTCCAGCTGGAGCAAGGAATAGATGCAAAGGGTCTAGCAAACAGGTCATGTATAAAGTGATCCTTTCTCAGGCACATCACACCAGCTTTCAGCAGACAGCTGTTTAGACGCTTCATGACCCAGCTGTATTCTAACAGTTTTGTTTAATATTCTGTGACAGACCTGTTTGTTCTCTCTGAGTTCATCTAATCTCTTTTAGAACCCATTTATCCTTCACAGCATCCTGTTGTAATGGGACCTACAATTTAATTAAATACTAAGGGAAATAATGTATTTCTGTTTGTATACTCCAGACCTGCTATCTTCTAATGTTGTATGCCCCTCCTACTTCTTGAATGTGAGAAATAATAACTGTGCTCTAGTCTTCGTGCTTCACTGCCTCTCAGCCATGGAGCAGTTGTGAACTCGTTTCTACTTATGAAGGAGATACTTCATTTTACTGAGTGTGCACATGCGTTTTTTTCACTGACGTACGAAAGCCTTTTTTGGGCACAGATGTTTAAATGTGTATGTACAAGATTCATCTACGAAACTTGTGAGATCTGTAGAGGAGGGGGTTTTTTGTTTTTGTTTTTTTTTCTGGACTACTTGATGTAATCAGGAAAAAAAAGACATACTTTTTGCCAAACAGGCCATTCTTCTGAAAGCAGAACCAGTGCACTAATTTTTGTGAAGGATTTATGTGTAACACCGTTGACATAATTTTTGCAGTCTGGATGATCTCATTAAATGTTTTAATGCAGTTTCTTATATCGTATACAAATGTGTTTTAAGTCTACCTGGAACACTTCAATTGTTTCCTTCAGAAAATAGTCCTTAGATGTTAGTGATATCCCACCTCCTTTATTCTTTTGTCTTTTCCTCAGCAGTCCTAGTCATCACTGCTATTTCAGGAGTGTTGGACTCTTCTTAAAGCTGTTTCCAGTCTTACACCAATAGCTCTGATTGCTTCTTGTTCTTAGCCTTTTATTTTGTCCTGTTTTTCTCCATATCAAAATGATGAGTAACTTTCTGCCATTAATAATTTCTTCAGAAATAAAAAATAATTTCCACTTCCTAGTGGATGCAAGTGGATATTTCACCTGCTACTTCCTGTATTATTTCTTCACCTAAGACATCAAGGACAATATCTTGTGATACTAGTCAAAAGTTGTTGATTACAAGTGGTAAGACACATTACAATTGAATTTGATAGATTGGGCTTTGCGTTACCCAAAAGAACTCAATTAAGCCTATTGACGTTGTAATGGCATACGCAGTAGGGTGTGAGAAAAATCATTATCCGGATTAAGTGATATAGTTGTTGTTAACCCTAGGTTTTCTTCCAAGCAGGACAACTACTGAGGAGTTTACCATTCTTGCGCAATGCCAAGCCTGTTTTAGGCTAGCTCTGACTGTTGCTGTTAACAATTCTCCATGTTATGGTGTGTCACAGCACTCCTCCCAGCTGCTTCTTGTTACTCGCCTCTGCCTCCCTATGTTCTTTCCTGTGCTCCATTTTCACCATGATTTTTCTCTCTTTTGGCTTCTGAGCGTAGCTGCTCCTTGTAGCAACTCCTGTACACAGCAGTCCTGTCAAGTTAGGTCTCAGTAGTTCCACTATTTTCTTTTGACTGTGTTGTGCTTTCCAAACTGATTTGGAACTCACGGTTGTTTTGGCATCAAACCGGGTAATTGGATCTTGTTCCCTGAATTTGTTGCTGGCTGGATTCAAACTCTGACCAGTGAAGGTTGCTTCTCTGTGAGCCATAATAAGCCTTCACTTCATCTTTCCTTTTTCTTTCAAGTAAAAATAGAGGTATTAGGAGGAAAAACGTACAAATGTGAAGTGAGAGTAAACAGATGCAAATATTTACACATTGTTCAGCAGCCAGCGTAGACCACTGGCCTGAAGCACTTACACACTTTGTACATGTCAAATTTCACTCTTGCTTCTTCCAAAGAAATGTTAGGAAAGGTTTGATCTGTTGATCCGTGTTGAAGGAGTTTAGCATTGTTTAAAGGTAACCAATATATAAGTAGTTTCTCCTTCCGACTGTTGACATCAGCAGATGTTGCTGAGCATGGTATGTTAGCGCGTCAGTCTTTTTAGCACATCACCAGTTGCAAAACTTGTGCTTCTTAAGAATTACTTGTTTGATGAAAAAAATATCTTTCTAAAAGAAATAATTTACCTTTTCAGAGATGAGGAATCTAATCAGTGCCTTACTTGATGTCCGTGCAAGGAGTCTGTGTTACTTTTTCGATGGATTTGCAGTACCTGTTAGAGGAGAATAAAATGCTGTCGTTAAATGTCCTTAGCACCTGTGCTTTTTCTTTTTGTGAAGCAGTGATAAGTTGAAAGAAAAATGAAGGACACAATAACTAAGATACTTCTACCCTGGCGGTTACATGTTCCCCAGAAAGACTGAGTGAGCTCTCTAATGCTCCGTTGCACATCATGGAGCTTTGCCTGTTAGTGGCAGTCTCTGAAAGATACCTTTTCTCTACTGATGCATGTACTGCTAGTTCACAAAACAGTCCATGTGGCTAAGTGGAGGTGCATATTATATTGCCCTGACTCTCCAGTGTGTTAAAAGGACTGCTGTGCTGGCTCTGTGTGTGTTAGAATATGCCAGTGTTAAGGGTCATCCCCCTGAAGGATCAGACCACCTCGGTGACTGGCAGTTACCTGAAATCAACCACAGAAGAAATCAGAATAAGGTAGAATAAAATAATGTATTTGTAGAATCCTCACTCAGTTGCTATGGTTGTAAAGGCTATGGAAATAAAAAGAAAGTTACCTACTTGAATTAGGTCCAGGGGATTCCTTTGTCCTGCGTTAGCCTGTAGCCAAGTTGATAGTTGTTTTACAGCTACATAGCTGAAGGTCTAGCACTTACTGTCTCTTGAGTTACCCAATGTTGGTCTTGGAATAAGACGTGAATTTAGCAACTCATCCCATGCGTTAGCACCCCTAACCCTCCTTGAGAGTTACTCAGATTTGCACATCTCAAAAGGATTTTGTAAACTAAGCTCAGTAAAAAGTGGTTATGACATTCCTCTCTTACAACCAGTGATGTTCCCTACTGCTTTGGAAATGTTAGCATCTCTTTGGCATAGCTGGAACTGAAAAGTCATCAGCCTGTTGTAACACAAGATGTCCCTTCCTGTCATGTGGGGCAAAGTTTAATTACACAGGTAGATGTGTTCTCAGGGTGTGTCAGGTTACATTTTCTGTTGAACGTAAGGTTTGCTCACACAGGGTTTTGCAGCTGGTTGTTACTCACATTTGAGACTAACCTCGGTATTTGCCTTTTGCTTTGGGTTGGTGAGGGGTGACTGCCCAACTCT